GATTTCTGACCATCAATACATGAAAGCTTCCTATATGTCCAGTCATGAACCAGCTGATGGCGCTCTACAGCTCTAACACTCGCAATCTAGAGGGCATTTTATCGAATTTGTGAAATGTAAACATTGTCCATTTGTAAATTGCCTATTTTGTATTTGAATTTAAAATACATAAATAACTCTCGCTCCTGCTGCCGATTTTGGAAACAGTTATAAATCAGATTCAAAATCCATAATGCCATTTTAAAGATGCCGCTTACAAAAAAAGCTTATAAAGTATTTTTTTGGTTGCAATATAAACTAAAAGAAAATTTTTAATTTTCTATGCACATTAAAAGAGATGATTTTTTTAAAAGAAAAAGTTTTTGAAAAAATTAGAAAACTAATTATTTTGAAGAAAAAATTTTAGTTATCAATATTTTATCTGAAATCGATATTTTCATGTCCAAAATCCTTTTTTGAGGTGTGATGGGTGGATTATTTTTTTAATGGGACTGCAAATTTCATGATCACGCTATGGAAAAGTAAATGATGTATCCCAATTTTGATCATTTTGTTTTGTTTTTCGCTTTTCTTTTATTAATTAGCCAGATTTAATTTATTAGGCAGTTGAATTATATTACTTTAAAGTAGGTTTCTTAATTTGGCGAAGTACAGCTCTTTCAAGCCCGTTTCAGTTTTCAAATTTTGCATTCAATCAAAAGAGCTATGTTGATATTACTTATGCTCCACTTCCCAATATCAGCAAGCCTGCTTGTAAATTCAAGCGAGTTTTCTTTAAGGCAGAGAGTGCGTTTCTTGTTTTATAGTGGCGCCATCTATGGCCAAGAATACGACTTTAGCCACACACATCACAGTCCATTTTAGAGGGAGGATCCAATCATACTCCATTCATTCATCCACGTATCGTAATCTTGAATAGAACCATATAACGATCAATCTCCTATTTAGTACATCAAGAGGTATTAATGTAGGGGAACTTGGAGGGCTTCGACAGATTTATCATGTACCAGTCACTATTTAATATACAGGGATTCTTCGGCCGTCTGAAAACGAACTCACGAACGCGAGTCCAACTTCCTACCAACCAGGCTATCCCGGTTAGCAAAATACCTGTATGTTTCTACAAATGAATTCTCAGTTCTGTTATTCGTGAAGAAATAGGACACCAATACATTTGCATGGAGCTACTAGAATATGATCGTCATACCATTAGTATAACCAGAATAAAATTTTACATTTTTTTAAGTTTTATTCATTCAATTTATCACAACATGTGAGTTATGAATCAAATCTAAGAGTAATTTTACATTAATAATTTTTGAAAGGAAAATAAGCACCCGTTTATAAATTTTTAATTGGATGACATGAATTATAACAAGTAGAGTAATGTAGTATTGATAATTGTTGAAAGGAAAATAAGCATCTGTTTATAATTAATTTTCTAATTGGATGACATGAATTATAACCAGTACAGTAATGTAAAATTAATAATTGAAAGGAAAAATAAGTATCAGTTTCAAATTTTTTAATAGGATGACATGAATTATAGCCAGTTCATAAATATTTTGAGACAATTCACTTTTTATCAACAGATTCATACAGCGTAAATATGCACAAATATAAAATAAATAGTGATATACACAAATACTAAAATAAACATTTCGAAACAATTATCATTTGAATCCACAGTTTAGAAAAGGAATAAAAGAGAAATTGAAAAGAGAGAGAAAATTAATTTAATTAAATTAATTAAAATTATTATTGAAATTAATTTTATTTAACCTCTTCCCTACTGAAGTATAAAGGAATACAGCAAAAAATATTTTACAGTTCCGAAATTTATGATAAGATTAAGAAAAAAATTTAATATACTGCCAGGGAGCTAATAATTTTAGTTACACATGCGTGAACCTCAGTAAGTAATAGTAATATAAATATTTCAAATGTTAAATTGCACCTTAAGTGGGAATAAAATATGCATATTAAATTATTATCAATTTAAAAATCCAACTATTTCAAGCGTTAAATTGCATCTACAGTATGAATAAAATATGTATATTATTATATTATTATCAATTTAAAAATATAACTATTTCAAATGTTAAATTGCATCTAAAGTATGAATAAAATATGCATATTATTATATTATTATCAATTTAAAAATATAAATATTTCAAATGTTAAATTGTATCTAAAGTAGGAATAAAATATGCATATTACGAGTATTACATTATTATCAATTTAAATACAATGATGGTTAGATTTAATAATTATTTAAGAAAATTAAATTTTGAAAAATACAAAGTTTTATTTTAGTACAATGCAATGCTGCATTAAATCTCAGTTTCAAAACTTTTTAACTATGCAAACCACGCAGAATAAATAATTACATCAGTTATTTATTCTGGAATAAATAATTAATTATATTATTTATTCTCAATTATTTATTCTATTATCTATCTAGAGATTAATTATCAAAAAATATTTTATTCTTGGGGTAAAATTTTAAAGTCATGGGGAAAAAAAACACTAAAAGTTAAAGTTATTAAATATATGTATGTAGTTAATTAATTAGTGTAGTTAGAACAACTAATTAATTTAGTTTTTTATGTAATTAAAATACACGTAGAAATATTTATAAATAGATATCTAATTGAATACCGTAAACCGGGGCGAGTCTACCCATTTTTTCAGTTTGTCNTTTTTTTATTTGCAATTTAAAATAATGAAAATTAACTAAGACTAAAATGGGTAGACTCGCCCCTGGATGGGTAGACTCGCCCCGGTTTACGGTACTCATAATACTATAAGATTTCACTTGACTACTACGCTGTTATAAATTTCGCCAAACATACATGGACCTGCAGCCCCTGGCCAAATTATTAGACGCGCTATAAGATTCTATGTAAAATATTAATTATCAGGTAATACTATACACATTTATTGTTTTTCTGTGACTGAAACCGGTTTGCACTTGTTTACTTTCGTGTATCACTTATTTAAATTAGGCAATATATATAATATAAATTTGACAATTGGAAGGATTAGACGATATATTATATAAATAAAGAATATTTATTATATCAGGTATTATATTAGTATATTATAATAATTAGACCAAATTACTTGACGCACTGTAGTGTTTTACTAATTGCATGCTTTGCATGAGTTAGTATGCAATACTTTTATATTTAAACATACTTGTAATGAGTTTTTATTCAGGAGTTTTTTATATACTTCATATTCGTATTTATTTTTAACGTATCGCATTACAATGTTAACCAATTTATACACAAACGTAAACAAATGCAAACCGGTTTCAGCAGCGAAAAACAATAAAGCTGTATATTATCACCTGATAATTAAGATTTTACATAGAATCATATAGTGCGTCTAATAATTTGGCCAGGGGCTGTACATGTTCTTGACTGTATTATTCTTAAATATAAATTTAAAAGCTTCATGCAGATCACAGAACTACTAAGTCAAAAGAAAAAAATTATTTTCAGAATAACCAAATTATATAATGTTTAAAATTACTATCGTTTTCGAACACGCATAATTTTTTAAAAATTACTTTTGCTTAAGTGGAATTCTATCCAAATAAATTACATCTATTGTAATCCCCAGAAAGTTTAAACATCCACAAATGTTTTAGTGTAGGTAAAACTATAAATTTTCTTATAGTATGCTCATAAAAGTTAAGAAGCAATCGACCACATATGTAGAGCGGGTTAATGAATAGGTTAAAATAAGAAAACATACAAATCTTTAAATTTCAGTTATGACATACAATGAGCATTTAGCATTAAATAAGCTACTTAAATCACCCTGAGAAACATTTTTTGAACCAAGATTTGTTTTGGGGACTCATTCGTCCTCAAAACTTTGAATAGAATACACATGTTTTGCCTAAAATGGTATATTTATTCTTAGACGTTATAAGCTTTTTGTGCTTTTATTTCGCAATTTATTAATATCTATAAATCCGTACTCACTTCCGCAACAGATTACTATAGACTAGAAGAGTCATCGAGATTAAAGTTCTATAATTGCAAGACCAACGTTACTATCGTGACTATGGGTGATTTTACTAGGTGATGCAATGTGTGTATAGACAAGGTGATGCAATGATAGATATATAGTCTATAAACACTCTTAAATCATTAAGGATGATGAACGGTGTTAGATAATCAATATTGTATAATTGTATATTTTATATTTTGTCTATATTTTATGATTCTAAAATCTGGTAACTGATTTTTCATAATTGCTTTTTATATTACCAAAACGGTGATTAAATGGCTTATAAAATCTGCTTAAAAAGCAAGTTATTATTGATTATAAGCAATTACTCTAAGGAATATAATAAGCCTGCCTTTTTTAAGAATTCAATTATCATAAAAACTATTCTAATAAGTTAAAATAAATAATATTCGATTTCTCGTATTAAGTAGTAATTAATGCAATAAATTATTCGTATCTTATTAGTCCTTAGTGTTGAAAAATATGCAAAGTAATCAATTAAAGGATAAAACTACATGCTTTTATCATACTTACTTACCGTAGTTATTATGCATTATTAAGCATTGTGCTAGTTATTATGCATTTTAACAATTCACCCCATATACAGTTACTGATACAACTATTTCTATTCTATACACATATAAATTAATCACTTTTCAACAATAAAAATATGAAAAAATGCCACACACGATGCTATTTCTCACGCTAATTGTACTTAGTGAGTACAATTGTACTTAATTGTTAGCACTAGTTGTACTTAATGAGAGAGTGAGTCACAGAATGATTTATGAGTTTTATTTCATGAATTTGTATACTTTGTTCTTGATTAAAGATAAAATGTTAGCACTGTATTCCACCAGCGTATAGAATAATTTATGAATTTTATTTCATGAATTTGTATACTTTTTTCATGATTAAGGATAAAAATATTAGCATGTATTGTTCATGATTAAGGATAAAAATATTATCACCACTAACATACAGAATGATTTATGAATTTTATTTCATGAATTTGTATATTTTGTTCATGATTAATTATAAAAATGTCGGCAGATTCCACCAGCGTACAGAATGAATTATGAATTTTATTTCATACATTTTTATACTTTGTCCATGAATAAGGATAAAAATGTCTGCACTGTATTCCACAAGCATGCAGAATGATTTATGAATTTTATTTTATGAATTTGCATACTTTGTTCGTAATTAAAGAAAAAAATTTAGACACTGTATTCCACCAGTGTCATTAAGTCGATTTTCTTTTATATTCTGAAAATTGTTTCTTTGATAAATATGCATAGTCTTCTAAACCATTGCTTACAGTTCTACAAAAACAATGTGAAGACATGGTATTTTCTGAAATTTAAACAAGACTTGCAATACATTTTGTCTCTATTATTACAACTTGCTTAGTGAATTTTCTAACTCAACAAAATAACCATTAAGTACATCATTCTCTTCATTTTTCATGTTTTATTTACTTTAGAATTAATCTTAATTAAATAATAAATTCCACGCATTTTCCGTATATCAATATTTTTAAATACTTGGAAAATAAAAATTATTTAAAAGTGATTTCTCTTATTGATTATTTCTGTTTTAAAGTCCTTAGAACTCACGAGGAAAAGTTACATGAAATTCATTAAACAATGTGGACAAACACGTTGGAATTTTCTCGCCATTTTCGTTGTTTCAATTTCTTTAAAATTCACTAATAAAACTTTATATAAAACTCATTAAACATTGTGGAAACTCCTACATTTCGTTGTTCTCAATTCTTTAGATTTCACGAATGAAAATTTATATAAAACACATTAACCAGTGTGAAATGTTCATTTCATTTTCTTTAAAATTCACTTATCTAAATTTTCTCACAACTCGCTCAACATTTCTATTTTCCATACATTTCTGTTATTTCAATTGTTTTAAAATTCACAGATGGCATTTTACATAAAACTCATTAAAAATATGATTTTTCTCGTCATCTCATTGCACTAATTTCTTCAGAATTCATTCGTAAGCTTTTAGAGAAAGCGATTTTCTCCGCATTTTTGCAGTTTCAATTTCGGTCGAATTCTACATCTTGTTCTAATGCATCTCATTTATTTCATATGGGAAAATGATCCCATACTTTATGAAGAAAGTGAAATACACTCTAAGGAAAAACAACAATGTTTTCCTTCAGAGAGAGAAATAAAAAACACTACATTGTTTTAAAATTCATGAGATCCATTTCCACCGACTTATAAAACTCTCTCATAACATAATCAAGAAGCCTTCTTAGAACACTCCCTGACTTCTGATTGGGACGTGGAAAGTTCTCAGAACGATATCAGACTTCTGATTCTGATATAGAAAGCTCTCGTATCTGTGGCAGAGGTGTTTGGAAACTTACAGTTCTGGAATGTGATGGTTTTTTCTGAGGAAGGGACGAAGGAGGAATGGGCTTCTTTTTTTCGTTCCTTTGGGAAATTCTGAATGCTCTCGATCTTCTCTTCCTGAGGAACAGATGAAATGACATTTTTGGTAAATATGCTAATACTACTCCCAGTAGTACAGTTACTATCACAGCGCTGCCTACTATTACTGCTTTCACTGGATTAGGAAACTCGGCTGTGAAAAGAAAGAAAAAACAAAATTAGACCAAGAAAAAAGCCATCCGGTAATAACACTGTGAAAAGTCAAACTGAGAAATTATTTATTTTATTTTGTCGTATGCCTGTTTAGGCTGAGGGAGTGCGATAGTTCTTGTTTTTCAGTGGCGCCATCTATGGCCAAGAATTCGACTTCTGCCACACCATTCTTTCAACCACAAACCCGTTTATAGGGCGGGTCACATTCACACACACAAGGGAGAAAGGACATAGAACACTCAGAGAGAAAGAAACATCCATGCCTTGCCCGGGATTCGAACCCAGAATCTTTCTGATGCAAGGACAGTTCCCTGCCCCCTACACAGGCCGATTGGCAAATTACTCGTTAACGTATCAGAAAGTTTATGTAGTTGAACCCTGATTTAACAAACCTCTATTTATCAAACTTCATAATTTAACGAATTCATCTCCCTTCCCGATTAAAAGGGATTAAAAAAAAACTATTTAACGAACAATGGGATACCTGCACGTGACGTATTGTGGGTATCTCGATTTTAATCGGTTGTTGAAACGAGGTATTTGCTTTCATTAGCAGCTGTTCTTTCCATTCTATTTCGAGTAATCCAAGCCCGTCAAGTTAAAATTGTGACACTTGTTATATTCTTTCGCAATGATTCTTTCACAAATACATCAATTCTTTTACTATATATTTCTTACTTAACCCATCAAAGACATGCACGAATCCATGTAGGACATAAACAAACTAATTATGCATCGAATGTTCCAGGTACACAAAACAAAAATATATCATGGTTACGATAAAGTATACAAACAAATAATAAATCTAAGTTAAGTAGAAGACGTAGACGAGAAAGGATTATATTTTAGCAATTTTGATTTGCGATACGACGCTGTGTTTAATTAATTTCACGTTAGATAACATTCTAACTTATGTTTAGAAACTTAGCTCAACTTTATCACGCCATTTTGCTTATAAACAATCAGATGACTCTGACGTCATAGGTCACGTGTGTTGGTATCAGGGCTCTTCTTCTTGAAGTACAAGTACCCAATTATCCTAGAATTCACGAAATATTTCAACATCCAACATAATCTTTTTTTTTCTTTTAATAAAACCTAACTTTTTATTTTTAAAAAAAAGTAAGACATTCCGAGGTTTTAGAGAGGTTTGGAAGGTAAAAAAGAGGAAAATTCATTTGCTTTTTCATTAGTGCCCAGCTTATCTTTTAAATTTAAACTTAAAAAAATCTTCAAAGGCTTGTTTTTTTAAGTTAATTGCCCAAGTTTGCATTAGTTACTAGAAGCTGGCATCGTTCGTTTTGTATGAATTAACAACAAATACTTGCTTAAGGAAAAAATTCCAAAAATAGTGATCTAGATATTAGACCCTGGTATCATTCGTTCTACAAAAATTAAGAAAAAAATAATTGCGTAAAGAAAACATTCAGAAAAAAAATGACTTAATTTCTAAGCCCTGGTATCATTCGTTGGGTAAAAATTTATAACAAATAGTTGCCTCAGGTAAAAATTTAAAAAAAAAGTGAGTTAGTAACTAAATCCTGGTATCATTCGTTCTGTAAAAATTTAATAACAAGTAATTGCTTCAGGGAAAATTTCCAAAAAAAGTGAGCTAGTTATCCTGGTTTCATTTGTTCCATAAAGATTAATAACAAATAGTTGCTTAATATATAAAAGATATTAATTAAAAAAAGGTTTTAATTAAGAAAAAGCTTTTAATTAAAAAAGGTATTAATTAAAAAAGGTATTAATTTTTAAAAAAGGTATTAATTAAAAAAAAGTGAGTTAGTTACTAGACCCTAGTAGCATTCATTCAATAAAAAATAACAATAAGCTGCTTGTGAGAAAAACTATAACCACGTCAGAGGAAAATGCATTAAAAAATAGATAGCCAACATTTTTTGTTCACTTTAGTTTGTAAGAAAATATTGGGGGCCAAGTTTCAAAAAATAAACTTTAAAATGTTTTCAATGAGTAGAATTTCCAGGCACAAAAATGCGATGAGCTACATTTGATAATTCGCTGTATTTTTAATTACACTGAATCAAAATTCTAATTAATTACAATTTCTAGTTAAAAAAATATTTTTGTGTTAGTTGCATTAGAACTGTTTTATGATTGCTGAAATTTTTAATTTTGTTTTTGATCGCTTTATTACGAATTAACCAGAATTAGTGATTGAAATTTTCAGTCCAATTAAATTCCTTAAATCACAGTCCGGCTGTATTTTTAATACTGGCACGAATTCATATAGAATATATATCATAGTACATATATACTATGAATATATATTCTTATAGAAAATCTATATGAATATTCAATGATGTATCTTCATATGAGAATCTATAGAATATTCATATAGAATATATTCCTATAGAATTTTTCTAATTAGTTCAATCAAATATTAAGAGTGTTTATTCATGGTCTTCAAAATCTAAGGATTCATCAAAACAATGAATAAACAGCGATAAATCACTTTGATATAAAAAACAAAAATAGTTTTGTTTTGCTCATTTGTACTCCATAGAAAAACATTCCTAATTGTTAAGGATGTTTATTCAAGATGTTCTATCATTGACTAGTGGTGAAATGTAGGAAAAATCTACATTCTTATTTTATATATTTTATTTTATAATCGTCGTTGCACAGCCAATTTTGATTTTACAACTACCATCTTCAGCTTTGTGACCTTGTAATTTTAAATCCAATGCGAAAGACATGGGAAATCCTAGTTCAAGTATTTGGAGAAATTGCCTTTGTTGGAAACTTTCCTGATGAACTAACCCACTTTGCGTTACATGGAGAGGAAAACCACGAAAATATTCCTCGGTTAGCCTGATGGCGAGGGGGCTCTAACCCATAATCCAGTAACCATTGAGGATATTTTACGTTAGTACTGCGGTTGGTACGAAACAGGTGCGGAATTCGTATCGACCAGCCATCGCTGGGATTCAACCCGGGTCACGACCTCATTAGAAGGCCAACCACGTCGATTTGAACCCAATGCAGAAGACAGGGGAACTCCTGGATATTTATATAACTTCTTTAAAGGGTGAAAAAAAAACATTGTTCTGCATAAATGACCAACTGAAAATCAAATTTTTAGCATACGTTTAAAATGTTTACTGCGGTAAGTTACTAAAATCTTTTTTTTTTTTTTTATTTAAGCATCAAAATTAATGACCACGGATGAAGACTAAAACAGCAAAAAAATAAAAATTTAGGAAAAAAAAAGTTTTAGATAAAAAAAGACCAGTTAATTTTTAAAATTTTATATATGCTCGGATTATAAAATTTTTATTTGTTTTAGTTTGTTTTTTAAATATGGTACAGTAAAATCTGCATAGGATAGAAAAATTAGTTTTTTTTTTAATATTTTTCCGTTTGAATGCGCAAAATATTTCAAAAGTAACGATTTTGAACTTTTAAAGAATAAAAAAAGGAATCTAAAAATCCCAATCCTTATTCCACACAAAAACTTTTATTTTCCGTATATTTAACTACAGTCACAAAAAAGTTCGAAGCCCTAAAACAACTTTTGAAAGAGCCTTATCATTTTATATGCAATAAGGTAGATCAAAGCTAAAATCAGAAAAAAATAAATTAAATACCACACTAGGAAAAAACTTTAGTTGCACTATTTACAAATTTTTCCTTGTTTAAATTTGTTATAGATATCAGTTCACCACCAAAAAGCTCAGTCCTTTCAGTTCAATTTAATAATTTTTTACTTTTTTTAAATGTATCATACTAACATACTCCTAAGAGTCCATAAAAGTGAAAGATAAATAAAACTGAAGCCAATATTAAGAAAGAAAATTAACATTTTATAACTATAAAGGAAGGAGATGAAAGTTTTCATTAATAAAAATACTTTAAATAAACTGAAAATATTGATAACAATAAAAGATCTTCAACCAAATTTGTGAAAAAAGATATTTATTTTATTGGCTTAACAGAAACCTCAATCATAAGCCTTATTCGGATTACCCTTAAAATAAATCTGAAAAATGTATTTAAGTTTGACTGAGAAAAAAAAATCTATTTAAATTTTGATATGAAACAACGCACATCATTTTAATCTAGAAGCTTTTTTTCATTTCTAAAGTTACTAAGTTTTTCGAAGGATTTTAAATTTAGGGAAAAAATCCAATTATGATTATTTTTAAAAGGTTGGAAAAGTATTCGTATCTTGAAAAATTTAAAAGAAAAACTTTTGAAATGTAATTCATTTATTTAATGAAAATAAGATTAAATTAAAAACGTTGATTATTTTTTTTTTTGGTTTCCTTGAACTAATATTGCTCATAATTCTAAAAATATTTTTGTAGGTACAGAAGTATTTTTTTTATTGAAATTGATTATTGATTTTATGATAGAAAAAATAACATTCTTTCACAATAAAATTTGAATTCACGCGTTGGTTTCGAACTATATATAAAAATCCAATAATGTTTTCGAAGTTGTCGGTATATTTTTATTGGCCGGAAAATCACATAGTGGGATCCAGTTTAATCCGGTTAATTTTCTATTAGTTCGGTTGTCATCAGCATAAAAGTCTTAAAGGTATTGTTTTCCTATAAACACAGGGTTATTCATAATTCCCTCCGGGGTTTCGAAGCGTTATAGTAAAAAGACGAAGACGAATATGGCAAAAAAGAACATACGAAATTATTCCGAAAGTATTCAAGTTTTAATTTAAGCAGTTGCCGGTAGATGGCAGCAACATGTACCACTGAAGCCAGTTGTAGCAAACATAAGGTTGTAGTAAACAGAGGGAATTATGAATAACCCTGTATTTTTGTATCACTAATTTAAAGGTATTTATATGTACTGTTATTATTGCGCTTTGTATGTTTTCTAAATTAAGAGTTTAAGAAGATTGTCTTTCGTTATTATTATTATTAGAATAACGTGATTCTACGTTACATTTTATGATAAAAATCATTTAAATTGGTGTCTGATCTTATTAATCGTCTA